TTGTAAATGAACGCCCCGACGAGACCCCCGGTGCGAGCAACAATAGCAAATGGATGGTGAAAGGAAACAAATAAACAGTAAATCACTTACGAAAAACACACTCCCGTTCCGAACGAAGACATTCGGATGTAACGACATCAATATCTACGACAAATTGTCCTCCGGCAATTGTTCTGCCCATGTCCCACTGATGAATTCCTTCACGTTCCCCTTAGATGGTACTTGGTTCACTTTGTTAAGATCTGACCCATCTTCGCATTAGTGCTTGCTAAGAACTCGGAACTTAAAAGTGCTTCCAAGCCCATGTTGCAGCAATGAGACATACATATGTAAGTGTGGGCGTTCTTATTGTCCCTCGTGGCGCACAACCCAGTTTACCTATCTTAAGCCTACATTCATTGAAACTACCTGGGTCCTTCTATACAATCGGCTCTGCCTCCCTCCTCCCCTCCCCCTTTCAATATGAATAAGTGATACTTAATCCTATCAACTCGACACAACCAAACAACAATTATTCCCCCTCTAATGGCAAACATACATAGATATATACATACCAATGGCTTTCCAATCGGAGTACATACATGTGATTGACTTACATTCACACCAAGGGTACCTAGTGGCTGGGGTTGTTTATGTGAAACGACATGTGGGGACTGGTCATTGCCACATTCGTGTGCAACATTCAACGACGGGGTTGCCTTCGTATCTGTCGGAATGTACCTTCAACAAATGTTATTCTACCGCTCTGGGCAGAACCTAAATGTGTGTGGACGGACCAATTCCGCATTCATATGGTTTAAATGGTTATGACAAAACAACGTTTTGTCTAATTATGTTCCTGTGTTTATGCGGAACAATGTTTCAGTCTATGAACAATGTGTCTCCTTCCTACCCATTGTCCACCCCCAATCTAACTTCTCTCATTGTACCTCTTCGCAATGCCTCGTAGCTGGTGTTTATAGGTAAATATTTAAGATACCTCCAAGTCATTTGCTTGTTGCATGAAACTGAAACAAAAACATCAAACGAGATTCCGGTCAATAGTGGCTGAGGGCTATTTCGGACGCATCGCTGTAAGCCAAATCATCATTTTATGACATAGACGTCTGCTCTCGAATGATTTATTTTGATGGGCGCCCTTGGGGCAATGCTCACCTAAGCAAATTGTAGTGGATGGAAATGGTGTTTTATTGGAGAGAAGAAAAGTTAAGTGCCTCGGAGGGACAGAAGCACAAAAGACCAATTCGATTTCTTCCAGGAAACGAGCATAACTTGCAGAATACCCACATCTCTCTCGAATAGAGCAGAATATAAATTAGTAATTAAATGCAAAGTGGATAAGGATATACAGACAAACAACGCTATTTTGCCGATTTGAAAGTGATCTAAGTCCGTTGTTCCCTGATTGTTCTAGGCCAAAACTGTGGCCAATCACAGAAACAACTTCGTTTTTGGGTATAAAGACATTAATTAAATTTCAATAAATACATCTCAGAAAGAGAGAGAGGGAGATGAGTATAAAAAATTGTGTGTATTAACATGAATATATTTAACAAACAGAAACGTTGACAGACATACACACATACTTGGGTGCCATGTTGGCTGGGTGAAAGAACGATTTTCGCAACGACTTGTTCGATTGAGTCCCGCTTCAATAAGACGTAATTACTCGAAACGAGAATCATTATTTTAGGTTCTTCGCTGGAAATCCCATTAAAGTAAGAAATTCAATACATTTCTCTCTCTCTCTCTCTCTCTGTAAGATTTTTTACCTTTTTTGGCTCAGCAAAATAACTTGCACACCTACAACTTGGAAATGATACAGATATGTTTTCCACAAATGCAACAAATTTGAATTTGTGTTTAGGTCGCGATTAAGTGCAAAACTCGAAAGGTATACCATTCTATTTTAAATACATTTATAAGAATTTTTATGGGTTGTCTGGCCTACTTTAAGTGGTGACTCTTCAACATGTCTCTCTCCGCTCTATATTTAGGATTGTTTTCTTTCGAATGCTTTAAATGACCAATGTATGCGTCTCCTTAAGGTGCAAGTACATAAAGAGCCGTTTTTCACCATTTACTTATACTTGTTTACTTTACAAAGAAGCCAGTCAAAAGGCATTTTATCTACCTACAACTTTGGTCGCGTTTGGGCACGTTTTAATATCTTTCCTTTATAGTTCATTTTGTTAGACCTTACTTTAAGAAAAGTAAAGGATAAAGTTGACATTATCGGGTTTAAAATAAATACATTTTTTCAGAGACATTGCAGTAAAATGAGTAATCATTTGTAAATGCAACTGCTAGTCACTGAATTTTTTTCACAATGGTATCTTAATTTTAGTTTAATGGGAATAAAGACAAGTTAAAAAGTATCAGTCGGTTTTGCCGACAGATGTATACCCTCAGCCAATATAATAAATATATTTTGACTTTTGCTATGATTACTTAAATTGTTAGCTCCTATGGAGTAGGTTCCGAAGGAATGGGTAAACATTGTCCATTTCGTTTCGGACCTAAATAAATATGATATGAATATTGCGACGTGCCAGGTTTGGACTATATTGGTTACTTCCTTCACTTTACATGAGATATGTTATAATAGATAGATTAAGTCGACCGAAGTATTCCATTTTCATACTTCATTTAATGCAGATACAAATATTGATATGGGCAAAATTACAAGAAAATCGAACATTCATTTCCAATTTTATGCGAATTCATAAATTCTCAATCTCAGGTTTCTGGTGGAGAGAAAAAATAAAATATAGCAAGTGGTAAAGAATCGCTGGCTCGTTTCGCAAGTTTTTACGGATAAAAGACTGGAAATTGAGACCCTTTGTCGGTGAAGTACCAGAACCGTACTACTGGTTTCAAATTCACATCGCGCGACTGCTCACTTCATGCCTGATGACTTGTTACAAATGTCTTAAAATTGGACCGAGTTCAAGAAAATGAACTTTTGAGAGAAAAGATATATCTGTAGTGGAATTCTCCAAGTTATTTTCTGAGTTACCATCAAATATCGGTAGAGTAAAAGCACAAAATTATAAATGAATAGTCTTTTTCAAAGTTGACACCACAGTTGCTTTCGATCGAACTTAGCAACTACTTTATTTTGGTCACTAACTTGCCGAAAAAAGAGTTAGAGTGTCCACTTTGTTACAGCCAAGCGTTCAACGCGTCGGACTGGACTAAAAGATACTATTGACTCAGAAAGACAAAAAAAATTGAGTACAGAGGTTACATTGTCGTAGTCCCTAAATGTTCACGCTTTCGGATGTGTCCTCGATATTGGCATATAGCCCATTGTTTCGGTGCGATTTTCGTACAAAAATTCTGTTTCTATCTCCACAATTTCACAAGACAGGAATCATTGGTACGTTCTCAAGATCCATACTTGTTGTTTTGATATATTTCATAGACGAACCGTGTCAAATTTATCCGAATCATTGGCAAATTCACAAAACTGGCCTTAAAAAAGTCTTTGTTTTTTGTACCAACGACTTTGTCATCTTGAAAATAAGTGAGCCAAACAAAGTTTGCATCGACAGTTTTTATTTTCTTCTGGTTTGTTAAATTTGGTAGGGAACAGGAACAGCACTCGAGGAAACTGCACTTTGCTTAAGGAGAAGTTTTATTTGCCGTGGTTTCGCCTCCTACCTCACTGTTGCTGAACCAGAACGAATGGTCCACAAGAAAAAATTGAAAAGTTTTATTTAAAACTCTGTCTGTACGGTCCACCACATCAGTGCCGTTGTCAACTTGGGCCAATGATATTTCCGAGCTGCAATTGCCAGCTGATGGCAAATGGCGAACAAAAAGCACAAAGTAAGTGGATACCGGACACTTGCACAAAAGTCGAGTGGTGGTAATGAAATCATCATCTCCTCTCAAATGGCGACGGGAAGTAACAACAGCCAAACGATGAATTTATTTATTTTGCGATCATCGTTCTCGGCCGAGGAACTCTGTGTCGGAAAACTCTGGCCTGGCATTGACAGCTTCCTGGCAATTTTGCATAGCTAATCGCATTTTAATCATCTACCAGGACTTTTAATGACTGTTTTGTGGCTGATGGTACAGAAAGGATGATGACGGTGTTGTCTTAGTCGCCCCAGATTCTTGACGGGCCCTCTTGGCTGTCTAATGAAATTATGATGGCAGCGATTTCAATGATTCATTACATAACTCTTGATTGCTCCATCAGGGCGAGATGAGTACTTAAGTGTATCTGCTGTGACAGCAATGATTAATTGCACATTTGGCTTGAGCGGATGTGTGCTGATATTGTTTTTCTTTTTTGTGTGTGTGAATTCCGTTGCATTTGAATCGGCTTCTTTATGGCATTCTCTTGATTGTATGTAAAAAAGCAAACCACCCGTTGCAAGAGGGCGAACCACGCCAAACCGTACATACATAGCCCTCCATTGAGCCAAATGCGGCCTCTGTATGACGTTATTCGCGGTGTTATGGACGAGTAATGACAAGGTCACTTCATAAATTTTGTAGACAATAAAAACTATGCGTGTGTATATGTTTCGTGACTAACCGTGCACGGGAGCACGGTGTTGACATTAAAAATTCGAAATTCGAAACCACTTAGGTAAATGTGCTAGCCCACATCGCCCTGTAAAATCACTGGGTTGAAAGAACAGGCGACCAAGGTGCGAGAGGCGCCTCATTACCCGCAGTCAAAACAGAATAACTGACACCAAGCTCTACTGTTGCTTCAATAGCTAAGAAGAAGAAGAAGTGGGTTATGGCTCCCTAAATGCACCTCTTACAGGATACGGGGTTTCCCATTGTTTTGGTGGTCGGAAAATAGTTTAGAGTCTCGAAAAGAGCTGCCAAAAACAAAAACGCCGGTTCATTTTGTTTTGTTGGCGAACAGGGGGTCGTATACTTATTAACAAAACAATACGCAGGTGGGACGTGGTAGCACAGGGCGTACGATTTGTACGTTGTTTTGTTTCCATTTCAATGACACAACTTACACTTAGGTTAATTATTCACATGCAATGTCTTCATTCCACTCTGCAATTGTTTGTCGTTTTTTTTGGCAGTGCCTTTTTGCCATCGGCGAGTGTTATTTCTTCACGAGTCTTTAATACCATGTATGGAACAGTTGTCGATGAGACTCATGTTTCTTTTTTTTTGCCTTGGCGAACTTAAACTTACACAGTCACAAGGAAAACAACACGCAAGAATTAAGTAGGTGTATTAGTGTGTGTGTGTGTGTGTTCACGTGTTACCAACAACGCGCTTCACTCCGTTTTGGAAAAGATGTCGTTCGAAACAAAGGCCGTAGTGGACTACACGCTGTGGCACCAGTGAAAGGACATTTTATACGAGTTGATAGCAGCGTGGCAAAAATAAACCACTCCGAGCGAAAATGAGAGACAGAGCGTAGAGACTTCAACGACAGTCTGAATGAATGTCAAGAGAATGATTCTCTTAAATGGTTCTCTTGGACTTTCGACTATTTTCGTTTTCCTTTTTTGCCCGAGTTACTTACATTAAGTGTAACTCAACGTTCGGCGGTTTATCTTCGGCTTGTGCACAACTTAACCGGGCTTTGCGTAATTTGACCTGACCGTTATCTAAACGAACATTGATTTGGCCATTTTCCCGTGAAAACAAACCCGCTGTGGACAATCACTTTAATTGGATCACTTTATACTCTTCACAGCAATACAGAATTAAGGGAAATGTATTCAAATGACTCTGAACTGTAATCTGTTCCTAATTTTTAGTCAAATCTGGATTCTGCGATAAATAAAAATAATATCCTGTTTAACGACACCAATGTGCAGACATGGATCGTTTGGAAGACGATTGGAGCATCTCAAAGAAGAACGTTTCTATTCGGAATAAAGGTGTAGAAATATATGAAGGTGGATTGAAGATAACGCCGCATACAGGACAATAGGCTCTAGGAAGACTAGGAGGACAATAGGTTCAAGGAGGGCAATATATCCTCAATATGGAGTTAAAGGTGTTTTATTCTAAGTTAACACAGACAGTAAAACAATTCATAAACTAAGAGAATCTTAATACAGGGTAAGATGAAAAAACTGCAACCAACTTCAGACTGCTGTCATTTCTAAGCCACTCGTCCGACAGCTGTTAAAATTATTCCAGTGACAGCTCATTATATTGTTTACAAGCGTACAAGAGCATTTTGGTGAGAATTTTCCAGAAAAAAAAAACGTTATTCGTGATGGAACTCAAGCGTGATTGAGTGATTTCTTTATATTTGACTGGAAAACCACAAGTGGCTTTCGTTAGAGCACTCCAGCATTTTAATGTGAATAAATCTTTTGTGTCTCATACCATCGCTCGTTACTGTGATACTGGTAGCGTAGACCGACTTCAAGGAAGTGGACGGAAAAAAACAGCAACATCAGCAGAAATGGTTCGAAAAGTAAAGAAGCGACTTGATCGAAAACCGTGTCGCATTGGCCGAAAAATGGCTCGGGAGCTGAACATATCGCAATATTCCATTCGGCAAATATTGAAATACGAGCTCGGGGTGAAGCCATTGAAATTCTAAAAAGTGCAACAACTTACACCGAAACAGAAAGAACATAGACTCAAATAAGCTAAAGAGTTGTTTCGCTTGGCCGAAAGTGGTGGACGGCCGAATTTGGTTTTCTCCGATGAGAAAACATTCGTTGTCCAGCAGTTTGTAAACAAACAAAATGATCGTGTTTACTTGCCAAAGAGGTCAGATGAAAGTGTGCACCACCAGAACTCAAGCGCCGGCCATGGTGATGGTGTGGGCAGCCACAACAGCCGATGATAGCTCTCCGCTCGTACTAATCGACCGTGGCATCTGAATAAATACCGAATATTATCGCGAAAATATTCTGGACGGTGTATTAAAGCCTTGGGCACCCAAACATTTTTGCCGCAGACCTTGGACATGCCAACAGGACTCAGCACCATCGCACTCAACGTGCGCCTCCCAAAATGGTTACAAAATGAGGTTCCTCGCTTCATTTCCAGCGCACAATGGCCACCAAAATCTCCGGATACCAATCCGTTGAACTATTGTCTCTGGAGTATTTTGGAAAGCAAGGTGGGCACCAAAAAATTCCAAAGTGTCGATCACCTCAATCAAACGCTTCGCCGGGAATGGGCCAAAATACCGCAGAGCAACATTCGGGCAGCGTGTGACGTTTTATTTGGTCGTTTGAAGGTCAAAGGTGACCTATTCGAACAAATCTAAACTTATTCTTAAATTTGATGCTATTTCCGACATTTTTTGCTTTGATTCAATAAAATTTAAAGAAAAATGTAAAAATTATGGCGTTTAACTTTGTTGCAGTTTTTTTTATCTCACCCTGTATTTCATATGCCCAAGCACATGTTCTCTTGCTCGACGACCTCGAATGACAAAAAATACTGACGGGAATTATTTCCTCGCTACAATAAAGCAATCGAACTTTTAAATATTTCCGATCATAGCACGCTTATAACAAATGCCCAAAAGCAGCAAAGGAACTCCATCTGGTATTTCGCATAATTAAATTGGCGGATTTAAATTGTATTCTCACACGTTCGCAGCCACCACGCAAACTGACATTTTGTCCGGACTTTGCCGCTTCGATTGGCCTGTCTACCTGCCTGCATTCGTATTTTTAGACATCAATTAAACGGACAAACAACACTGAACATCGGATCGAAAGTTGCCGCATTCGATGCATTCCCGGCAACTATGAAAGTGTCCGTGCAGACACCACTAATGACAGCATACAACGACAACAACGACGATATTGCCAATAATATCCGCGAGGTGCATTCGACGGAAAATGCGTCCTTTCACCTGCTTGTCCTAATAGCCATCGGACATAGTTGGCTTCGGCATGGCTCTGAAATAGCAACACCGAGAACACGCAACAACCCTTCAAGGATGCCCACTACGTCAGCTTGTGTATGTTGTTGTATTGCGGATGTTGTTGTAAAATCTAAAGTAGTTAACCAGCTATTAAATGGCATTTAAAATGCCATGCTCTGCCATGCTTTGTGTGCCGCATGTGAGTGCCAGTGATTGAACAAGCGCGAATAGGAAATCAAGCACGAACCTGTAAATGTCCAAACTTGATAAGTTTGTTCAAAGTTTTCCCATTTTATTGCACTGAAATCCATACACACATTGGCAGATAGACTTCAACATGCCGGCTGATTGAACATTTGTTAAAAGGTTTTTATACCCTTCACAACAGCGTCAAAGTTTATTAAATAATCAGATTAGACACCATCACTTGGGTTCCGTTACATGACAAGGTCGGTATAACAATTAAAGGACTTCAATAATAGGCATGGGTACATGGCTATAGACTATCACTGGTTCTACTTCAACTAACATCGATTTGGGCGAAGTTCGACCCACGTAACACAATATTGTTTCCTTCTTTGGTCATCATTGCCGTATTTTATTTTTTTATTTATGAATATAAAAGAACTTTTCATTTCATTTATTTACCTTACAAAGAAATATAAATAAGCCCACAGGGCCCACAACTTATATTATCTATCTACAATACCCTAACATAATACAAATTCAATGATTAATTCAAACTTAACAAATAACATATTAAACCTAATAATTTATCTTAAAAATTCACGAGAAACTCGAACCCTACACCTCGATTCGCCATCACCAACTAAACAATAGTCTGGTAGAGCAGTGGAAAAATGTAGCAGAAACGAGCTAAAAATAAGACAGAAGTATTTTATTACTCACTAAACAGAGTACAAATAGTAACTTACATTATAACACCCTACAAATAAAATTAAGAAGATAATATTGTGGCTCCCCAGCCCAACAAAAAGAAAAACCCATAATAAACCGACGCAACCTCTACAAAAACATAGCCTATATATTTAGGCGAAGGTACTCAATTACTTTAAACCTAAACGGACAATTGGTATAGGCAAAAGTACGTAAGGCCAAAGGAAGATGATTCCGCAATCTCACCGCCCTAACCACAAAGGATCTCTCACCAATGAGGGAAGAAAACCTTGGACACAACAATTGAGGATTTCGAGATGATCTACAAAACACAAAGTTTCACGAAGAGGTGAGTCAAAATTGCACATAACACTGTAATGAAATTGAAGAAAACGAAGATCAACGTAGCTGCTAAATGGCAATCCCAGGAGATCATTAACAAAACAAGAAAAGTGACATGTCAGAAAAGACATTTCATTTCATCAACAAATTCCACTAACGAACTGGGCTTATAATTTGTTCTTTAGTTTTTTTGGAAATACAGGGCAAGTTACAGCCAAATTGGTTGAAGAACTTAAAACCAGACTGAACTGCATTTGGGGACTAACTAAAACATGGACACACATTGATTTCGGTTTGAAAAACTATTTTTTAATGAGGCTCGTTTTTGACCTCCTCCAATGAGATGTCCCATAAGGCGGACAAATTTCAAATGAAGATTTTAGCAAGAGAAAATATGGATCATATTTAAGACATAATGTTTACAACAAAAACACATTACCTTAGAATTGTGTAAACGTTGAGCATTTTAATACAGCGGAGTGGTATCTGTGGACAAATGCTAGATGCTTTGCTGGCCATCGATGGTTCTTAAAACTAACGATTTCAATCATTTTCGATTTCAATTTACGACTCTTTTTTCCTGAAATGGCCAGTTTGGGACACTTAAAAGTACACACGGTATCTTTATATACACATGTTCACATGTGTGTCTGGACGAATAAACTACGCAATATGTAGATATGTGCATGCATGTACATACTAGGAGATATACATCAACCGTCGGACACAGCTGTATTTGCCACGCTAACCTAAGTAACAATGTAAACACTCAACAAAGATTTCTGTTTTCTTTTCGGATTTATGCATTTCCATTGAATGTGGGTTCCCGTGCGACAAAAATTCGAACAAAAGGAAAAGGAAGACGGTGCCTTGTCCCTGATTCGTTCCATGAAACACGTATGAAAGCTTCCAACCGCAATCGTTTTGAAAGCTGTCGTCAAGAGCAACAAAAGACAATGCGATTGTTGTGCTAGCACAGAAATCGAACTGGGGTGTCGTTTCCAGCCAATGGCCGATGAAAGTGTGCTGGCGACCATCAAAACTTTTCGAGATGTGTATGCTTTTCAAAGTAGAATGGTTAACACCAGGCCAGATAAAGAAAATAATTTCCTTGGAACCTTTTGACCCAAATATTTAATGTCATGCTACACACATGCATATATGTGCTGATTTGCAAGAACCTCTGAAGAATGGCGTCGACGTCTCTGGTACTAATGGAGTTCAACATGGTATAAGTTACCCAGAGGATAATGTATAAATCCAAATAATTGGCTAGAAAAAGAGATGGGAAAAGAACACAGTGAGCGCATAAAGAGCACGTTCTTTGGATTTCATGCATACTCGGCAGTAATTTTGTCGGCAATTTACATACGATTACTGAAGAACCTACAACTCAATAATTTGCCCAATATTTTCTTCTTTGCACACCTGCATGGTGGTCGGCTGCAAGGCTGCAAATTGGTGTTGCCCAAAATCTTTGGTGTATAAGTAGTGGTAGGAGAGTCTTTCCTTTTCACTAAACGAGGAGGATTATAACTGCTTCAAATTGTTGTATTGAATTCAGTAGTTTATTAGTAGCGAATTGAAGATTGTTTTGAGATTCGATTCTAAAATGAACTGAAATGTGAACATAGGCAAGTTCCAACCCTGACGGAAAACGGCAAGAGAGCGAGAGCGTCTAAATGTTCAAGAATACGATCAACCAGTCAATGCTCCAACCGACAATCATGTTCATACCATGATCGCACTCTCTCAACAACACAGCCGGCCGTCATCTGCTGTCTTCAGTACCACAACACATCAGTTGCATTTGGTTTCTCGTTGGAAGTGGTCGCCGTACGCCGATTTCTTTTTGTACCCCGAGAGTCTTGCGAAACGTGGGCGCGTTAATAAATTCAAAACAAACAACATCAAAAAACAAACACCAGAAAATCTCAGGAGAGCATGAGCTCCCCAAATTGGACGGGTAAATACAAAAACCTCAGAAATCTGCAATTACGTTGAAAGCAGCTAGTCAACGCCAGTATAACAAACGCGTTTTTGTCTTCTCCGATTTTCAAGAAAACACTGGTGACCCAAATGAAAACTGGTTTATGTTTACAACAGAGCATAGAGCGTTGTCGGTAGCGTTGGCTTGAGCAAAGTTATGTAATGCTAGGCAGACAAATCCAAGTTTCCATTTTTCCAAAGCCTCGATATGTACATCGTGTTAGCCCAAATGTGAAAACGATGTTGTCAAACGCAACACTGGCATACTGAAGCTGAACGAACAACACCCGTTGCCGTGTCCCAAGCCACAGCTTCTTGTTCAGCTTTTCCATTGTCATAGCAACGATGACAAATGTCTTCAATGTAGCAATTGCGAACCTGACGTTTGCATTCTCTCGATTTTGCCAAAAATATTTCACATTGACGAAAATAAAGCACTTGCACACCAATGGACTCACACACAAACACACACACACACACCGACACATAGATTGAGATTTACAAATAGCCATTGGCCATGCACCCCCTGAGACGTGCCAACAAGTTTGGTCTCTGTCTGTCGCATACGTCATAATGTTGTACGTAATATGTGAACTATTTGAACATATGTATGTATGTCTGTGCTAACAAAACGAATAACCACACGCGTATGTCTGTCGGAATGCTAATACTAGAGCCGGTAGCATACAAACAAATATAGGTACCTATGTACGTTCAAACGTGCATGCGGAAATAACGCCTAGTTGTCATCTGAAAATCGTCAGCCAACATTTGAGTGTGCCTTTAAGATGTTGTGCCAGTGAAGTACCTAGGATGTGAATGACGAAGTACCGAGCAACCATTATAGGCATGTGAAAATAGATACGACCCTTCAATTGGACGTCCAAACAATCAAGGTATCAATTTGTCGAGGCAAACATCTATTAACACTCGTACGGGATGGATATAAAAAACTATTCTGAACGGTGGTCTGGGCGAGTTGCGTGAGTCTCAGAACGTGCTGCACGCTTAAAGTTAAAGACACGCCTTGAAATAATGACAATAAAAAAGCATGGATACACCTATATGGGGTACACGGATTAACTTCTATGGTTAAGTGAGGCTAGAGGCAAGTTACAACCATCTCAGTTCCTGACGTGAATTGGGTGTTTAATACGCGTTAACACGCCTGTTGTACTTTAAATAATTCCACAAACAATCTTAAATAGATGACCAACCAAAATATGGCTAAGATATGTCGACATGCGCTTCTCTTGGGCTTCTTGACTCGCTTCTGAAATGCCCTTTTGATTCCCAGAAATTTGTAAAAGCTCGAATCTGACTGATATGGGGCAGTATAATGAGAATTTACAGAATTCGTTAACATACTTATTTCAGCATTTTTCTAACCTAGGGCTCCTGCTGTACGATGTACCGTACAAAAATACTGACCTTCCCCATCATGGTAAAATTTTGCGTACGGTCATATTACCCCCAAATAAAAACGAAAGAGAATTCAAGACAAAGCGCCGAGAATAGTTTATTGCCTTCCCCGGGATCAACTCAACCCTTGTCTTGCATAAAAATCTCTCCAACGGTACATTATATTTACATGGCTTACCAGATAGGTTGAACTGCAAGGCATGTTTCAATTTGTGAGATTCCAATGCATCATCTTGTGGATGTCTTTCGTTCGAGTGGCTGTTGATTGCTAACCACTCCGGCCACATAATTACCCATCGAAGTGTGTGTGTGCGTGTGTGATCCTTGGGCTTTTATTGTTCGGTGTCCATTTTGTCCAATTAAAAGGGTTTTTTCGCTTCCCTGGTATCACTGGCCAATTGCGATTAAAATGTAAACCGATCTGCACGCGACAAAAAAACAATGTTTCCTAACAAGGCCCGCCCCATGCCCATTAGAGTTCTTTTTGTTAAATATCTGATAATCAATGAAATCAAACGGCAGTTCTTGTCACAAACAATTTGTTGTTTTTGGCTTTCCAATTTCTTTCTGTTGGTGGGTGGTGGTTGTAGACACTTTGGAGTTAAATAGCACCAAAATATATCCAACAGCTTGTTAGCCAAAGTGGTCCTTCAGTTTATGGTCTACATGCGTTACAAATTAATTCCCTTGCAAGGTTAAACCAGGCTTATTACTGTGCTCTATTTTATCTTCGTAATTGAGTGTTGTTTGGCATTCACAGACATACATTTGGCTTGTCGCGCCGACGAATACACGTACGTACTGGGAGGCAATCGTGAACAGACGTGTTAAAATACGCAACTCATATCGAAAGAGTTCCCCAATTTAATGAGCCGTGCTGAGTTAAGTTATCTCATCTGCTGTCAAACCACAACAGCAATGCCAAACCAAGCCAAGGTCGCATCTTCGTCTACGGGAATTTGTTGTTGATGCGCAGTAATTAAACTGCAACCTCCAGAGCGGCGTTTTATGGACCATCGCTTCAACATTGCCATACACAAACCGGTTTCAACAGATTTTGTTGTTGCTTTCAGATGAACCGCTTGTCCATATTTTTATTTCTTTTGACGGCCGGAATGAAATTTCGATGGCACTGGCAAGAAGACTGCAAACCGATTGTAAAATAATCGAAGAAGGATATTCACAGCAACTCTTAAACGTCCACAGCATAACGGTCTAACCACTTTCTGCGGAATCTTTGCCCTCGAACTGAATTCAAAAGTATTTTTACTTTGTGTTAGTTACGCCTGGTTACTTTTCACCTAAGATTAACTCAGTAATTTCATATGCGAGAGTAAGTGGCAGGAGGGCGGATTCAAATATTGCGGTATGACATATTAGGGGTTAAATCGTGGACTCGGTTCGCTTCACACGTGATTTATTAATTTTCACCAAATCGTGTGGGACACCAGAAGCACTGGACCGATCGATATTGACCATCTTCGCGATCAATTCAAGTTTGGCAACAATTCAATAATGTGGCACTCTTGGTGCAAATCTGATACACCTTCGGAGTTATGTCAAAAAAAAAAATGGGGTCTTTCTTATTTCTGTGAGGCCCGTTTTAACCGTACCCTCTGTAGCCACTTGGTAAAAGTTGGTGGCTAAGAAGACATGCATAATGCCTGAAAGGGTTGTTTCGATGTGTGAATTGTGGTGGGAGATATCCACAATTTTCTGACAATGTGAATGCTTTCTTGTTCCCTTGAAAGTTTCGGCTTTTATGTTCCCATTTCATGGTGCGATTCTAATGGAATGTTCATTGTATTGTACCTTTTCAGATTATTCGTAGATGAAAGTTGAACTATCGACAGAGGGGTTGGAGGAAATTAACGTAATCATGCATGTGACACACGCAGAAAGTAATGCTTCCACGGAAGAAGGTCAACACAACATTTTCATACACCCGACTTTAAGTGCCTACTATCAGAGTAAGTATCCGGAATGTGCTGGCACTACATCAAGGTACAGAGGTCACATCAAGGAACTTTGCTCCCCAATCGATTTTGTGCCTGAACATCGACTTCGTTTCCTTCTTCGATCTGATTATAAATTTATTCTATTGCAGATCTCACGCCATTCATAGCCCTTTCGATGTTCGTCGGTTCTCTGCTGGTGCTACTCAACATAGCTATATTCTCCCATACGGTGTCGAAGATTCGCAACAGCTGTGACCCCTGCACTCGCGTCCCGTCTATAATCATGTGTTCGCTGTATCCCATAATCTGTGGCGCAGCTTTCACCACCATCATGCTGCCAAAGGGTTGGCTAGTATGCCACACCGTAATGCATATCTGCTTTACCATTGGTGCAGTGGTGTTTCGACAATTGTGCTTCCGCTATGTGGGTTCTGAACTGACCTATGCGAAAGAGAACGACGGAGCAGCGGTCGCGATAAGTACTCCCCCCTGCTGCTGTTGCTGCCTGTGTCTGCCAGCGCTGATGCCATCGAAGACTAAGCTCGCCCTGCTGCGATACATGGTGTGGCAGATGCCCATTGTTCAAGGCTGCATCATGTTGGTGCTAAACCTCATCTACTACCGGGAAAAGGTACAGATACCTATTCTGAGTTGAATCACAGGCAATCCTTTTACCTGTACCAAAGCTCTTTGTGCAATTTCGCCCTCCACTCTTACACATGTACTTGTGATCTTTGCAGGATCTGTACCATAGTGTCAACATGTACTTCATACCCTTCCTGGTCAGCTCCATCCTTATTGGTATATGGGCGCTGAACATCGTTGTACGCATGGTAAACTCCATTCATTCCGAATATGGATTAATGGTAGGTAGTCGTCCCATTCTCCATTGCGGCTAAACCCTTTGGCTTTTGTTCATTGCAGAAGAAGATGTTTTGCCTCCAACTAATCCTTCTGTTATGCAAATTGCAATACATGCTGCTGGACACTCAATTGAATCACATCGAGCTGGGCGGCTATTATCCCATCAACCACACAATATACAAGCAAAGTAAGTCCATTGGGAGCGGCTTCCCCGCCCCAACATTTCTTCTGGCCGTTCGATGATTATTAATGTATTCCTTCTAACTCCTCCCTGACATGTCCCTCCCACCTACAGCAATAATCAATCTCTTAATATTGGTGGAAATGGTGCTGGTGTCGCTCCTGGTGCAGAACGCCTACAAATCACCGCCAGTCTAACTGCCCAAATTGAATGCCGATTAATGGACAGGCAACAAGGAATTCCGATTGTGATATACATATGAATGTATATGTACTTATTACTTATGTAGCAGAGCAAGCACTCACACACACACACACATTACATGCACATGTGATCATTACTGTATATTTATCAAATTATCTATTGCATTAAGAGAAAAACATCGAGCACATTCATTCGTACCCTTAAAATTTAAATTAAATACAAATCGTAAAGCCTTATTTGTATCCAATGGAAATAAGGGAGGTCGGCCATAGGCTAGGTTACGATGTCTGCCATAGGGATATCGGGGCAACATGGTGCCCTTTTGGAATTCGGCTGACAAAACTCAATTCCATGTCTCGTGTTTATGATGACGTATGTATAATGAATGTGTTTAGCAGACATGTTTCTAAATTAAGTTTCAGGTGGGGCGGGTTGTTTTTAAGTTTTTTTTTTTTTTTTGCTTTCTGCTGGAAGAAATTGACATTGAAACATTGAGGAAGACCGCCCAGCTATTTCAGCCCCATACGGTTGAACACTACATATTTTACAAATAAATTATGTTTCAGAATCGGCAACTTAGTATAGTTTCTATATAAGACAAAACCTACCAATGGATGTCGCGAAACAAATTCTACTCAATCATTCGAAAAAACCTCTGGGCAAGTATTGAAATGTCAAATACAAGCTTGTGTTTCCGGTATAAATACAAAACAAACAAATCGCGAACCTAATGAAATATTTCAACAATGACTTGCTTAGAACCCGTAAATTTGATATTTTAGAACTCACGCTCCAGTAAAAAATTGAATTTTAAACCTTTTTCATAAATTGGCCTCATTCATTAATTTCCTGCTGTCGTCGGGTTTCATTTTACGGATATTTTATCCACTGGTTTTTGGTGGCGCACCCACCAATTCATCAAAAGCATGTTTACATGCGCGAAATTGTATCCACTCGATTTGCGAAATCGTAAAATGTACTTTGTACATAACTACGTGTCCATACTAGAAAATATATTTTTCTTGCGCCATACCGTGGGACTGCCTGTGTTAAAAGGGGCTGCTTTGTATAATCAATATATTTGTACCCGCGCAGAGAGTCAAACTGTCGGAAGGTTGGATTCGTTGAATGATTGAATTTGTTTAGTTGTCAGGAAACTAAAATTTCACACATACTTTGGTAAATTCACCCCAGTGCAGGTGAAAACAGGATAAAATTCCTACTCCGTTTTGCAGAACGATGAACTATTTGATTAGTATTTTGTGCCTTCTGACGTGGCAGCCGATCCAATAAACTTCCTTCGCATAATCATATATTAACAAACGTATATGTGCGTGTTTCTTGCTCACAGTTTATAATAAGTTCGTACGCATGGGTGGCATCATTTATATGTTTTTCAACAATAAATCAATTATTCTCCTGTCCTACAAAGCCTATATTTACAAAAGTAAGGACCTTAGAGTAAATACATGATTACTATCATTGTCTTGGATAGAGGTATGGAGATAATATCTGAGATATTACGCGGTGGCAATCAATCAGATCAGAAAATTGGCCCATGACAAAGTTTTACTTTTCAGATATACCAAAAGAATATCATTCTCTTAATGTTTTGGATTGTAACAGGTTCTGCTACTCAAGTAAGAAGCAGTGTACATAAGTAAGTACATATGGAAATACTCCACATGGCCTAATCAAAGGGACATCAAGTATTTGCATTTATTGAGGGTAGCATTGAGGGTTACATTTTCCTTCGACATATAACTCTAAAACGTAGAAAAGTACATTCAAAGCCACACAACATATCACTGGTTAAATTTGCACCTCCATCTACGGCAACACTTTGACGTACTTTTTGCATAACACAAATCCCAAGGATAATTTTAAAAACAGAAATTTAGTAATCGTAGCGTGCCTTAATTTCTGGATAAATAAATGGGAATGTTTAACATTTCTCCCGTTAACCCACCCTGTGTTAAAGCAATGGTAATTTTCAGATGAATTGATATTTTCAGGGACACACATCTAGATTAAAATGTGTATCGTTGGTAGCTGCAGCAAGGTAGTAGAAAATTTGTAATGACCAACGAGCGGCATAGATTCTAATCGAATAAATTACACAAATTAATTTTATTGCAATCTTGTTTTATTTGTTTTCCAGTTTATAAGTTTATACCCTCCACCTTAGTATTGTCACTTTTCTCCGAAACCCTCTATCTAGCTCTACCGCGCTCGAGGACAGATTCTTGGCTGATTGAAATCATTAAAGGTTCGTTTGGCTTAATTACATTTATTATATCAAATAATTATTGATTGGTCCAGCAAGAATAAGACAATATATTTCAACTGAGACCTAATCAAATACCGAATTCGATTTAGATGCACTTTCAACAAGTTATATTTGAAAAATGAGACTGCTGGGCCAAAGGCTGGTTGGAAATTCTCTTAAAAATATTTATTCTCTCTAGTGATTTTCTAAGAAATCTCGTCGAATAGTGACCCATGTATATTGTAGGTATGTGCAGTACTAAGAGATAGTTAAGTCAAAACAGAGAAGTACTGCATATGCGCACTACATGTGCTCCTTCTCTTACGAGTGCTTAAAGCAACAGGCGTTCTTATAAAATACCGTTGCGAACATTAGTTATGTTTTAGCTGTACGAAAAGGAAAAAAGTCAACTGAGAAATTTCATTTCAGATTTTGATAGAATCATTAAACTATGAAACGAAAAATATTACCTTTATGAAAATTATCATTTGACTTTTCCTTTCGCATTTGTTTCTTTTATAAAAATGCATGGAAAATATGTTTTATTTCATGTTTTCATGATAGAAACATAACATCGCCTACCGATTATTATCGCGAAATATAGGTTCATAATCTTCCAAATTGACTTTAATTTATAAACAAAACAAAATTACTCTGAGAATCACATTTTAAACCTACAAGGGCTGGATTCTTGTTTATTTCCATGTTTGGTAATGCATTTGAAATTTGATTTTTATTTTAAAACATGCCCTATTATTTTAAATTAGATAACAGCATTACGCGAATATATTAATCACGATCGATCGGATGCATATTTTCATGTTTGGTAACATTTAGGGTTATTGGACCCGGAAATTAGTTTCATCAATCTGAGGCATAAAACCAAAACAGCTGATAAGACTTCAAAACTCTTACTGAACATGTTTAACCAGATAGAATTTGAAAACTCTCGGTAACTGGACTTTTGTGTAGTTATTGAAGCGCATCCATTAACAATAAATGAATTAGTAAACACACCTATTAATAGAAAAGCGTTGCCATTTTAAGGTGACTGCATCTAATCGTCGCCGTCATCCAAATAGGTCCTCTGCTTTACTGTTTACGTTTAGATGGGGCCGATTTTTAAAACCCTGCAAGGGATTCAGATTTTCGATCTGGTGAACTCTGTGAACTTCAGCTCATGTCTGGCTTTCGACCTGCTAAGCCCTGAAGGATCTCTAAACAGCTGTTTATGGGGCCGATTTTTAAAACCCTGCAAGGGATTCAGGTTTTCGACCTGGTGAACTCTGTGAACTCCAGCTCATGTCTGCTTTCGACCTGCTAAGCCCTGAATGCCTTCTTTTTCGATCTGTTGGTCCCAATTTGTGAAATAAGGGGGTGCGTTGTGTGTGTCGAAAAACACTAAAAAACTAAATAAACTAACTACAAACGTTTACTGAAATTTTTCTAACTCCTAAAAATCTAAAAATGTCAAATGTAACAGCAGCAGTCATAGCCAATAGAAACAAAAAGCATTTCCTGGGTGTGCCTGCTCCGTTAGGATATGTTGCTGGTGTAGGACGTGGGTAAGACTGTGCATTATATCTTTACTTTGGAATGTCATTCTATCCAGCTATTTATATTTAGTGCCACTGGCTTTACCACACGGTCAGATATTGGACCCGCAAGAGACGCAAACGATGTTTCTGACGATCGTCATGCTCCACCCGCTGCCAAAAGGAAGAAAAAAGATGAAGAAGATGAGGAGGACGAGGATTTAAATGACTCAAATTACGACGAATTTAGTGGATACAGTGGCTCATTGTTCTCTAAAGATCCGTACGACAAAGATGATGAGGAAGCCGATGCTATTTATGACTCCATTGACAAGCGTATGGACGAGAAGAGGAAGGAATACAGAGACCGAAGACTACGAGAGGATTTGGAACGATATCGTCAGGAGAGGTAAGGGTGTTACTTAGATTGCTAAGCAAGTCTATATTTCGCAAGTCTTTAATTTTGTAGGCCAAAAATACAACAACAGTTTTCTGATTTAAAGAGGTCACTGGCAACCGTAACGGCAGAGGAATGGTCCAACATACCTGAAGTCGGCGATAGTCGTAATAGAAAACAAAGGAATCCTCGAGCAGAAAAGTTCACACCTTTGCCGGACAGCGTTCTGGCAAGAAATCTAGGAGGCGAAACCTCATCTTCCATAGATCCTTCATCGGGATTGGCGTCTATGACGCCGGGTGTGGCAACCCCCGGAATGTTAACACCCACTGGAGATCTAGATTTGAGAAAAATTGGCCAAGCACGTAATACCCTGATGAATGTAAAGCTATCACAGGTGTCTGACTCTGTAACAGGTCAGACTGTTGTCGACCCCAAAGGATATCTTACGGACTTACAAAGTATGATTCCCACATATGGAGGGGACATAAACGATATTAAAAAGGCTCGGTTACTTTTAAAAAGTGTCAGAGAGACAAATCCCAATCACCCTCCAGCATGGATTGCCTCCGCCCGCTTGGAGGAAGTTACCGGTAAAGTTCAAATGGCCCGTAATCTAATTATGAGGGGTTGTGAGATAAACCCCCATTCTGAAGATCTTTGGTTGGAAGCCGCTAGACTACAGCCAATTGATACGGCCAAGGCAGTTATTGCCCAAGCTGCGCGACACATCCCCACATCTGTTAGAATTTGGATAAAGGCCGCTGATCTGGAAACCGAAATAAAGGCTAAACGGCGTGTTTACCGTAAAGCACTTGAACATATTCCTAACTCAGTTCGCCTCTGGAAGGCGGCTGTCGAGTTGGAGAATCCTGATGACGCACGAATCTTACTATCAAGAGCTGTTGAATGCTGTAACACGAGTGTTGAACTTTGGTTGGCTCTAGCCCGTTTGGAGACGTACGAGAATGCTCGCAAAGTTCTAAACAAAGCACGCGAAAATATTCCCACAGATCGGCAAATTTGGAC